CTCCCAAAGTAGAAAGGGCAAGACAGATCTGAACACTTTATGCATTAAGGTATACATAATGTTGCAATATTTAGTTAATTTGTCTCATAAAATACAATGTCATGGATGCCTTCTATCTAGCATTTTGTTTAAAGGCAAATTCCATTTAAAGTAAATAAAAATATAACATTGAGTCTTGTGGAAAGGAGATTTCATCTGCAGCAAGTGTTTTTCAAAGATAAAAAATATAGATATAACACTATTTGACATAGAGGTTGTTTTTTAAAAAAAAATCTTGACTTTTCAATAAGAAAGCAGTATATGCAGTGTTATAACAGTTAACACAGGCTTTCGTGACTGTAACTTGTTGACCCACTGAGAAACCTAATAGATTTTTGGAGAAATACTATTTATTTCATTTTAGATGCCTGGTTCAAAATCACTTCAAGTTGTTTTTTTTTTTTTTTTTACTTCTTTTGCATTAAAACCAGTACATGTGTATGTCAAAAGATGAACTTGGTATACTTAGCCTGTTTTTGTTTTCTTATAAATGTTTAGAATTTTCAGGAGAGAAGAAAAATGAAAGTGGTCAAATACAAAAATGCAAGTACCAGTAACAACAGTCTCCATGGGATTTAAAGACATTTATGAAACAGCTAACAATAGAAACCAACAGCTTTTTATGATTACTGAGAAAGCATCAGATGGGATAAAGTGTCAGATTTTGACAGCAGAGGTTAGCTAGTCATATGGTCATCTCGGTTTTAGTCCTATCACAAACCTGAGCAGGCAACTTCATACATATGCAAAATCTTCACATAAACAAAATTTTAAAATGTGTTGATGCTATCAGGCTAAAATTGTGCAATAAAGTTACCTACTTAAAAAAGGTGGTCAATCATATTCTATTCTAATATATCATAAAGAGGAATAAAAAGATATGTCCACAGCAATAAAACCACTGGCAGGGGAAGTGAATAACATTTATTATATTGTCACAAAACCACCATAGTCAAAGGGTGGGATATATTGGTCAGCAAGTAAACAGTGAGTTAGTGAATATCATCTGTTGGAAGCAGGGAAAATGGCAAGCAAAATGATATTAGTAATTCTGACAAGGGTCAAATAGTGACGACTAGACTACTGGGTCAGGTCTTGTGGGGTGTTCCTGTTATATATATATATATATATATTTGCATGCAACTACTTCCAGGCCGTGCAGGTCGCCATCTTGAAAAAACATACCTGTCTCCAAGAGGTTTCACTTGTTCTGGTTGTTCGGGTCACCGTCCGTGGATTTTGCCATCCAAACAACTATTTCTAAGCAGGCATCTCCGAGGACAGAGCCAGAAACTCACAAAAACCGTAAGCCACTGACCTGCCCATGGCGCCACAGTTGCGATCCCACGGCGTCATCACATGTCAGGTCTATCTTTTATGCTTACAGTTCGCATAATTCGTACGATACACTGGCTTTTCTGTTTCATTTGTGTAACCGTTAATTTCATTTCATTCTGCCTAATGAGGTCTCATGTTTAAATTCATGTTATGCATTGTTTGTTTTGTATACAACTTCCGAATGGGGGCAAACCTGTTTGTACGCTAGCTTACTCAGCTAGACTACACGAAAGCCTATAACGGCAAGGCTTTCGTGCACACAATCGCATGAAAGATAGCATTACGGCTAAAATCATGCTACAATACCAACCCATGTCGGTCTCCCTCGGTAAAGAAATTGTTAAGGCTACATATACAGCAGAATTTCTACATGATAAATAGATTGTAATTTCTTTAGATAGTAATTGGCATATAATCTTATAATGGTTTCACATGGTTGGATACGGTTTCTGTATTGTGATTATAATACGTATCTGCTTACTATGTTGTTAGGGTATCTATGTACATCTATTCATTTTTTGATTGATTAGAATTTTTCCATATTTTTCATGTCAATTATCACATAACAGGGTTCCAAGCATAAGGTTTTGTGTCACCAGTTATATGCATTGTAACAAATGGAGGAGCCTAACCTGTTTTATGGAGACTTTGTGCTAAATATTCATTTCGGACATTTGAAGCATTCCCCATACGAATGCTAACTACCGAACACCGGGCCACCCTGCTTCATAATTATAGATCATTTACCTCCCTGGTCCAGACATTAAAGAAAGCGATAATCAATGCTCCTGTTCTATCTGCCCCAGTCCCTAACAAAAGATTTGTCGTCCATACAGATGCATCCATGTACGGACCGGGGGCAGTTCTGAGCCAGATCGGGGAAGATGGAGGAGAACACCCTGTCGCGTACTTAAGTAGAAGATTGTTACCCAGAGAAGTGAGTTACACGGCAGTGGAAAAAGAGTGTTTAGCCCTGGTCTGGGCATTAAAGAAACTTACCCCGTATTTGTATGGTCAGGAATTTACACTCATCACTGGCCATAACCCTCTAGTATGGTTGAATCGAGTGGCCGGAGATAATGGCCGTTTATTGCGATGGAGCTTGGCGCTACAACCATATAACTTTTTCATTCAATATCGGCCTGGCAAATTCAACGGGAACGCAGATGGACTCTCTAGACAAACCGAACTTCTGCTTTAACCGATATCCAGACAGCCCCAAGTTGACCCGAAAAGGATCAATCCGGGTCTGCCGGGATGTTCCACAAAAGGGGAGCCATGTAACAAATGGAGGAGCCTAACCTGCTTTATGGAGACTTTGTGCTAAATATTCAGTTCGGGACATTTGAAGCATTCCCCATATGAATGCTAACTACCGAACACCGGGCCACCCTGCTTCATAATTATAGATCATTTACCTCCCTGATCCACAAGTACTTTCGTATAAAGAAACCCACGAACGCTGTATGAAGTGCCTGGGTGGCCGCCATTTCGGGACTTACACGTGTTCGCGGCCATCTTAATTCCCTAACAGCGGTGTTTTGCCGTCGAGTGTCTGGAACTAAAATCAGACACTCGAGTAGGCGAACACCGCTGAGACCTCCATAGCACCGGGAAATCATGCTATAACTACCGAACGACAGGCCGGTCGGTAGAAAGACTTAATAGCTTATGGGGATTCCAGCGAACGTTGGGTTACGCATGGATTGCAATCTGTTCGGGACTATTTACGCACGAACTAAGACCAACCGCAAGGCCAGAATTCATGGAACTGTTTTCGGCTACTGTGCCCGTGCGGTCGGTCAAAACTTTCAAGCTCCATATCTCCCGAACGGCTGAACCGAATGAGCTGATTTTTGACTATGTTGGTCCCCCAGAACAGTATTTGGGGTACATCTGAACTTTGGGGAAAAATGTGTTTTTTTAATTATGTTATTTGCTTATCTGAGGGGAGGAGATGTGTGTGATGTATATTATGTTTATTGGTTGTTCTGTAAATTATGTGGGTGTCTCCCTTGCATGGGCAGAATCACATAAAAGGAGAGTGCCTGTCATTAAAAGCTAGTTCTTCTTGACTCTTCAAAACATAGCCTTGTCTCATTCTTGAAAGGGGATTCTGCAGCATAATCACTCAGCTCTTTTCAAAGCTCTACCTGACTTCTGCCTTGGATCCAGTGGATGGGAATAAGCGACTCTATCACTCTACAGCGACTTGCCGGGAAGAAAAGGATGTCTCCAATAGCTGATATCCTCACTCTACCTGGGTAGCCGTTACATGCATATAGTCATTTCCATTTTTCTGTCACTACATTGGGGGAGTTAGAATCTTACAAGGAGCTTGGTTTGCGGGGCACCTTTGCTCTTTTACTTGTACGTAAATATATATTAGGCATAAGGACAATGTCATTTTTATGTTTCATACTTCAACACGCTGTTATCCATTAGATTTCAGGTACAACTAAAGCTACTGGCTGGCTTGTCAGCATAAAACTAAATTACCAAGGTACGTTCACCTGCTTATTACATAACGTATAAATTTCTCCCCCTCATTATTCCGGTTACAAGCGTACTGGCAAATAGGGTCCTAGGAGTCCAATAGGTAACTTAATTTCTGTGGCCTCCATGCCTTAGGTTAGTGGTCCCGCGAGGCCAACACCCATCCTTATTCCTGGAGGTATACGCCCATCAGGCCAATTATAGCCAGCCACTGCGCATAGTAACATAGAGAGGGCCTCACCTGTCACTCCCTTTCTTTCTTAAGCTGTTAAAGTCACTGAGAGGCCAATACCCCGCCACAAAATCCCCTCACGCCAACGTATAGATAGAGCCTCTCAAGCCGCCGGGCATCTAGCAGGGAAAACAACAATATATGTGAACACAACCCCAGTGAAAATGATATAATATAGGAGCAAACCAAAACTTCCCTTATCTTAAGGTGAAGTATCCAGATGAATCCCCGAAGACTTCCTCTTGTCTTCAATAGATATACACAGAAAAATAGGGGACAATCTGCTAAATACAAATAAAACAAAAAAACATAGCGTATAACTGTGTGGAGACTGGTATTGATGTGCGATCACAAATGGTCACTCACAATTTTGAAGAGTTAAGATAGCCTTGAATGATGTCTTTATGGAGTAAAGCAGCTTTAAATGGTGTTTTTCAATATCCAGTGTGTTGTCCCTCCTCACATATTCATCAGCAAATAGATATATATGTCTCAAAGAGAGAAAATGTACAAAAATGTAGTGCACTTCCAGAATATGATAAAAAATATTTTTAATGACTTACATTTAGGTATAAAACAAACAGCATATCACCATACACGTCCTACGCGTTTCGTCCTGAAATTGGACTTCCTCAGGGACTTGGTGTAATAAAGTGCAATCAGAAATAGCAGCAATAGTAACAATATCCCCCCCACAGTCCTTTATATACACCCCCATTTGATGTTTGAAATCTTTCAGCTGGTGTTCAATTTTCATTTCGGCGGTATGGAATCGAGTGACGTCATCGCGTACACCGCGTGCGTTCCACCTTGCGTTCCACAGACCCGGAAGTGGGTCACGATCGTCTGCCTCTTTCTCCTATTCTAATGCATTGACTCAAAGCATATGCAGACAAGTGGATAAAACGGAAAGGGGAGGGGCAGGTAGTTAAAAAAAAATATATATACATATACATATATATTTTTTTAACTACCTGCCCCTCCCCTTTCCGTTTTATCCACTTGTCTATATATTTTTTTAACTACCTGCCCCTCCCCTTTCCGTTTTATCCACTTGTCTGCATATGCTTTGAGTCAATGCATTAGAATAGGAGAAAGAGACAGACGATCGTGACCCACTTCCGGGTCTGTGGAACGCAAGGTGGAACGCACGCGGTGTACGCGATGACGTCACTCGATTCCATACCGCCGAAATGAAAATTGAACACCAGCTGAAAGATTTCAAACATCAAATGGGGGTGTATATAAAGGACTGTGGGGGGGATATTGTTACTATTGCTGCTATTTCTGATTGCACTTTATTACACCAAGTCCCTGAGGAAGTCCAATTTCAGGACGAAACGCGTGGGCATCTAGCAGGGCCTCACCAGTCACCAACTTAGCATAAATGTTTTGCAACTTGGCATTAGCTAGCAAGCCAGAACTACTGTAAGATGTACAGTTAATAATAGTAATCTTTATGTTATTTAGTATGCCTCAAGAAGGTGGCGAAGAGCTATCTCTACCCAGCACTCTGGCTAGATCCAGCACATCTTCACGTAAAGGAGACATGGCTAGTCCAGCATCAATCAGATCCTGGACTATCCCCCGCATTACTGCCGAGCTCAGGAAACCTCAGATTCCATACCTAGCTACTGCTAAGAAAGCGGAACTTTTTAGACTGCTTTGCACATCTACAGATAATATGGAGGCAGGGGAAGGCCCAAGCAATTCTAATTCAGCAGCTATTCACTCCATCTTATCATTACTCATGGCCTCCATGGGGAAAGTCAACAACAGATAGGAGAAACTGGAATTGGTCACTCTAGCTCTGACAACAGCTAGGCCTTCCATTGCAGTTCAACCAGTCACTACTGAAATTCACCTAGGTAGTTCAGTGACTACTTCATATTAACAGGACATTAACCCTGCTCACATGATCCCAGTTCATATTAAAAAACATATCCTGGAAGGTAAAGATGTTAACCTGGCATCACTCCTAAGAATATCATAGAGAATAAGACTTATGCATATGATGATTTGTCAGTTGTGATAAAAGCTAGGGACTCCAGGTTAAACAAGAAGTTTGCTTTAGCCTTTGGTATATATACGGATGTGGTATGCTCTTTGTTCCCAAATAGCGGAGAAGAATTTGATTTGTACATGCACAAGCTGGTAGACCTAGGCAACAAATATGGAGGTATGGCTTTCTATGATTATCAAAGGTCATTTTCAGCTAAAGTGTCTCGAGCTCTCTCTCAATTCAGGAATAGGACCAATTGGAGCAAACCAGATACAGAAATTTTCTGCAGACACTTTGCAGGTCTAAAGACGCCAGCTTGTGTATCCTGCTCATCTTCCGCCCATGCAAGCAATTTTTGTCCCAATACAGTTGAGGATTATCGCAATGCTCCTGTTTCTAGCACCTCTGATAGAACAGAGAAAACTGCTAAGGGCAAGTTAGGTTGTCCCATTATTTTCCTTGGGAAACTGCAAATTTGCAATAATTTCAATGCCGGTACGTGTAGCTTCAGTGCATGCAGGCTGTTGCATATTTGTTCTAAATGCTTCCGGGCACATGCAAAAACCATGTGTCCCAATAAACTGTACCCTAAACCTCATTTAACATCTGACAATGTTACTATGTTATCAGCTTTACTGTCTACACATCCTTCGAGATATCTGGTGGATTTCCTAATATCAAAGTTTTCGGAAGGTTTCCATACAGGTATCATACACATGCTTTCAGGAAACCCAGAATGCCATTACTTGAATTCAGCACAGAAGAATCCCACAGCCAGAGACACCCATAGCACAAGAACTTGCTGAGGGCTTCCTATTAGGGCCTTTCCAGTCCCAACCATTTACTGCATGGAGGACAAACCCTATCGGTATTGTCACGGGAAAAAACTCCTTAAAACAAAGACTAATCATTGACCTGTCAGCACCCCACACCTTAGCATTTCCTAGTCTGAATTCACTGATCCCTTCAGAGGAGTTTTCCCTACAGTACGCCACTATTGACAATGCCATTACAGCTATCATTAAAGCGGGGATAGGAGCATGGCTAAGCAAGACAGATATAGTCAACGCTTTTAAACTGCTACCTATACATCCCACACTCTAGCACCTATATGGCATTAATTGGAAAGGCTGGTACTATTTTTTTCTCACAACTAACTTTTGAATCAAAGAGTAGCCCAAAAATCTTTTAAATTTTTGCAGAGACATTATGTTGGTTAATCCTGAACATACTGTAAGAAAATGCCCCACAGTCATCCATTACTTAGATTACTTTTTGATAGTCGAAGAGAACACCCTTCCCCCAAGTAGCCTCAGGGAAGCCATTAGCCTTTTTGACCAATTAGGAATTCTAATATCTCCTAAGAACTGAAGGCCTGGACGCTATCATTAACTTCCTAGGCATTCAATTAGATTCCATTTCCATGCAGGCAAGCTTACCGCAGGACAAAATAGGGAACATACTCACATGTATTAAAGGGACTTAACTGTATCCTGCGCCGATGTCCCTCGGCGCTGGGTCAGGGTCCGCCCATGCTCCTCCCCCGCCGACGTCATCCGGCAGGGGAGACCTAATGCGCATGCGCGGCCAGCAGTGGGGGAGACCTAATGTGCATGCGTGGCAATGCCGCGCATATGCATTAAACCTCCCCGTAGGAAAGCATTGAAAGAAGCTTTCAATGCTTTCCTATGGGGATTCCAGTGACACTGGAGGTAATCACATAGCGTGAGGACGTCCAGCAACACTATACCACAGAAAATCTGTGCTATAAACCACGAAGTGCCCTCTAGTGGCTGTCTAGTAGACAGCCAATAGAGGAGGAGTTAACCCTGCAATGTAAATATTGCAGTTTATGAAAACTGCAATATTTACAGTTGTAGGGTTAAGGGTAGTGGGAGCTGGCACCCAGACCACTCCAATGGGCAGAAGTGATCTGGGTGCCTGGAGTGTCCCTTTAATCAATATCTTCTTTTAGGTTCCTGCAATCGTAAAGATTTACAATCCCTATTAGGTTCTTTAAACTTTGCAATGCAAATTATTCCCCAAGGGCGGGCATTCATATCTAGATTGCTTTGTCTCTTAGAGTCGACTTACCCTAGATTCCCAAGCCACAGCAGACCTACTTATGTGGCAGAGTTTCCTAATCACATGGAATGGAAGGAATATATTCCTCCCAGAATTGTCAGAGAATTGAAGATTATATTAGCTTTAGTGTACTAATAATCTTAATTTTAGTAATGACAGGAGGTGAATATTTGCATATCTTTCTTTAGTGAAAACTCCAGCAGTATAGAAACATAACAACCAATCAGAAAAAAGTTATGATGCCCATAAAAGGCCCTGTCTATGACATCACTTCCTCTTTCTTTGAAGCGAAACAATAAATAACAACAAGAGACATAATCATATTACGTCAACAGTTCAACAACATATAAGAATATCCAACTCCATTAGTTCTGCAATGCAGAGGTATGGAACGTGAATCTTTGTCTCGATGAGAAGACGTTCACTCTGCAAGAAAACGAAAAAGGTGAAAGGTATCTGGCGTGATAACTTGTCCGCATACAATAAGCATTAAGCATCTGATATACCAACGAACATTAGAATGTGAAACATATCAATATATATTTATTCTAACGCAATGATATTTAAGAATCTATAAACACAACATAATGCAAGGTTCATGTCTAATATTCAGCCAATACAAGACCCACAAGATACAGGTCTAAGTAGCAAACATACAAACCATACGTACTTACCTTCCTGAACATAAAGGACATATTCTGTTCAACACGAGAAACATGGGAGGGATCCTATAGGGTGGGAAATATTCGCCTCCTGTCATTACTAAAATTAAGATTATTAGTACACTAAAGCTAATATAATCTTCAATTTTACCACATGACAGGAGGCTTCATATTTGCATTTTTAAAGCTTTGAATTGACCAATGTGAAGGAAGCATGAGATGTTTGCCGAAAATAGAACGTTCTAAACGTACTCTCTCGCGCTCAGTCCGCGCAGCGTATAATGTCGGCTAGGGAAGCGTCGGCCGAAAAGGTTTGTGAGGCCGCCGCTCCCCTGACCGAGTGGGCTCCGAAACAAGGTTCGACGCTAAAGACAAAAACCAGCGGACCCATCTGGCCAGTGTTGCGGTAGACACCGGTCCATGAGGGTTCACGTAAGAAGTCAGAAGGTGATCCGTCGAATGAGTTCGAAGGGGGTAGAGATATTGGTGTACCCCATTAGCGTTCTGACCACGCATAGTGTGGCGTCTGACACAAAGCATGGGTATGACACTGAAGACGAATCAGACTTAGTTCGTCTCGACATGGTAAAGGTAACCCCGTCTGGTGTGAGAGAGGAACCATCCATATCGCAAGCCCTAACGTCCGACACCGTCTAAATGAGGCGAGGCATAATAAGAGGGCTAGTTTGGCTGAAAGTTGCTTGAGTGACAAACAAGGATTGTCCGGCCATTCCCTAAGGAATCTCAGCACCACATCCACCTGCCAGAGGCGTGAATATTTGGGTGCAGGGATCTCGACAATTCGGCACCCCGCAGTAGTCGACAAACCAGTGTATCTTGACTTACTGGTCTGCCCTGTACCGGAACGTGCTGATATGGCGGATCTGATCACGTTGAGGGATCGATATGACCGACCCAACGAGACCAGGTGTGACAGATAGTTGAGGATCAGTGGGACAGGTGCGGTAAAGGGATCAGAATCCCTTTCCACACACCAATCACTCCAGGCCGACCAGGCAGAAATATAGCCTTTCCTGGTGCCGGTAGCCTATGAGTCCCATAGGAGGTCTTAGTTGATGCAATAGGTCGTGAACTGACCAGGAGCCCCTGAAACCGTCCAGGCAACTAGTGCCAGTTATCCTTCCATGACAAGTCCTTCCCCTTGAGGTCCCGTCAGAAGTAGAGGGAAGGTAGGGAGTAGTAGAGGGTCTTCGCGAGACATCTCCAGGTGATCTGGGAAATC